TTGCTAGCAATTAGTAACTTTACCACCTCGTACTTTTACAGACGAGCTCTCTTATGGTATTTCTCCATAAGGTCCTTGTTTATCTCGTACGACTAGTAATCCTCGTAGTTCCTTTGCAATTCTGGAGTCATTGTGGCCACCATGATGCATGCAACTTTTGTGGCATCATTATAGTGTTTCTTGTAGGAGACTATTTCTTCAGGAATGGCCTCCTCTTTGTCGATCTCATCCAATGGTCTCTCAAGGATATATTCCTTGTCCTCAAAACGAAGCGCCATTTTAAGGTTGCTCATCCAATCGTTATAGTTGGTGCCATCCAATTGCACCTTAGAACAGATCTTCAACAACGAGAAATTGTTGTTGTTGTTGGAGGAGGAGGAGGAACCAGAAGCATCGGTTGGAGTAGACATCTTTAAAATAAAGATAGCTTTAGTTAGATAAGAATAATCCTCAATATAACACCCAAAATGAAATATCAAGGCTAGGATCCAACTAAATAATTCACAACTTAGAAAAGGGATGCCATAATCTAGTTGTAAATTATATAAAGCTAGGTAAATGACGATTTACCAATTTCTCCATCGAAAAACGAAATTTGAACGAATTAGGTTTTTAAATGAAATTCCTAGATCTTTTGAGATTCATTGAACTTTTCAATGGCATGTTTAATCTCGATTATGCTCTTCCATTTGTAACTGGGATATTGAGGATCACAAACAAGATGTGAATAACCATGCAAATTAGCTTGGACTCTCAATGTCATTTATCATCTCATTTTAATGTGTCGGTTAACCACATGTGCTCCATTAATCAATGATAATTTTTGAGACACCCATTGCCACTCTTTATTAGTCCCTATTAGTGTGTCGGTTAACTACACATGCTCCACTAACGACTTATAAAGTGCAATGTGTAATTTCATGGGTTAGCAAACAAATTCACAATTTCCTAAAGTAACTAAGATTGGGAATTAAAATAAATGTTTAGTTACTTTTTAACTCATTATACTTATTAACGAGAAATTATTTGTCCTATAAAATCCGTTCGGCTAACAACCCTCCACCAATCAAGGAAGTGGTGGGTGAAAGTGGACACTCATTCAACCATCATTTTATAGGCAGTTTCCTTATACACCCCCCCCCCCCCCCCCCCCCCGCCCTTATAGATCTGCTTCATGAATGAGGCATACTATCGGTTCGACTAACTTGTCTTATACATATAATAATATTAGACTTTTAATGTTGCATATAGTATAAGGGTGTATATTTAAAACTTTTCAGAAAATACTAGTTTACATTTTAAATTTTGAAAATTAAACTTTTAATTTAAATTTAAAATAAACCCAATAATATTTGACATTAATTATTAAGTTCCATTAATATCCAAATTAATTATTTAACCATTTAAAAAATCAATCATATTAATCACAAAACAATTAATCAAGTTAAATATTAATCTTCTAATTTCTAGGCATTCATATTATCATGATATATTCACTAAAATTGGATTTGGCAAGTAAATATAGCAGATAATTATCCAAGGAATCAGATTAGGCAGATTTGCATTAGATTTTTTGGATCTGACTAAGCTCATGTGGTGAGCTGCGACTAAACCAAAACATGGTTTCTTTTTCGATTCACTAATGTGCAATTACATGAAAGAAAACGCTAGGCTCTGATACCACTGATGGGGAATCTGGGTTACAACTACAATGCCATAAGCGGAAAACAATCAAAACAATTCAATTGATTATGGCACATGCAACCTAGTTTGATCTATGTCTTTCGTCTATTAGCAACATACTATGAACAATAACATACAAAACGTTCCTATTAACAAATCTAATTCATAAGACATGAAAACTAACCTTTAGATTGTTATGCTAAACAATCTTAAATCCTTCTTCTTCAAAACTTTTGTAGCTAGCACCACAAAATGGTTCACACCCAAGGCTAGCAACTAAGGATTATGGAGAGTGAAGAGGAGAATTTTGTCTAGAAGTCTCTTAGGGTTAGGAGTGTCGAAATTGTGAAGGCCAAGGCTCCTTATATTGGTGAGGTAGCTTAGAGCTAAAGATAGGATTTAAAGGAGGAAACCCTAATCCCTTTGTTTGGCGACCAACCAGCCCACAAGCCTCCATCCAAGAGCCTTTGGACGAAAATTCTAGGCCCTTCCTAGAAGATTTCATCCAACCTCTTATAAGGAGGTTCTAGAGCCTTTTCCTCAACTACCAATAAATTGCCAAACAGCCCTTGTACTATAGATTAATTCAATTAATTCCAATTAATTTCTGATTAATTATTAATCAAAAATCATAATTTTTGATTAATATATTATTCTATTAATATATTAAAAAATTATATATTCAAATTTATTAATCAAATAATAAATCATTCTCTTTCTCTCTCCAAAATAATCCTATCCAATTGCTAGCTTTGAGGGCAACCAAAAGGACTGTGCTACTATCAATTCAAGTTTATATGAATTATAGTTACCATCTTAGACACCTAATCCAACAAAGATACCCACAGCGGTTCGGATAGATTGAAGACCTGCGACGCTGTCCAGTCAGGTTGAAGGCCCTGAGAACGGTCTAGATAGGTTGTAGGCCCGGTGCGACGGTCCAGTCATGTTGAATGCCCTGAGAGCGGTCCATATATTTTGTAGGCCCAGTGTGGCGGTCCATTCAGGCTAAAGACTCATGTATGCATGTTGTTATTTGTATGGTTATGTGTGGTACTTTGGGGAAACTCACTAAGCTTTGTGCTTATAGTTTCAGTTTTATATTTCAGGTACTTCAGATGATTAAGACAATGTGAAGGCTTGATCGTGCACATCATCCTGGAATTTTATGAGATTATGATTTTGGGATACTCTGATTCATGTTTATGACTTTTGGAAACTATGATTTGTAAACGCTTATGGTTTTGGATTGGTTTCAAAAATGAAATTTTTGACCCTGATTTTTCGGATGTTACAAAGAATGGTTAAGAATTACATTTACTATAAAAAATAAAAAATAAACAACATATTAAAAAAAACACTAATATATGTTAAAGGACATGGATACACATTAAATTTTGTCATCGTATTCTTAAAAAATAACAAAGTTTATATATTATTATATGAGAATGTAAAACTCATTAAGTACAAACAAACATAATTTGTAGATTATTCTTCCAGAATATACTGTTATATACAGTCGTATCATTGTGTTGTAGATTATTCTATCAAAATATAACACTCACTAAGAACAAGTGGGGATTCTTCTCTAGAATCTTTGTAAAGATTAAAATATTAATGATCGATAAGATTCAAATTGGTATAGCAATAACATAATAATAATCAAATAGATGTTGAATGATTAAAAGTCACGTCTCAGCTGAACTCGATGAAGAATTTCAACTGTAGAGGCATGCTAGGGTTACAAGATGAATAAAAGAGGTAACAAAAATAAGATGCATGCATGCACCATATATAATCTAACCCTAGAATTAAATATGGGAGGACAGGCCCAACCCGTTAACAAAACAGACTAATTTCAAATCCCAATGAGGCAACAACTAAATACTCAACAATCTCCCCATTTACATCAATTGAGGTTATAGCCCATCAGCTAGTGATTCACTTCTGCACTTCATAGATTTTGGGAATAAAGCATAACAGCATCTTGTGAACCTGGATATACCATAGAATCATATCCAAAAAGCACTTGACATCATCCTTGTGGTTGCCCTTGAACTTGGTAATCAAGTCCAATATAAATTCCAGACAGGCAGTATTGTACAGATATTTGTCTTCGAGATAGAAGTTAGACTTGTGAAAGTCAGCTCCTGTTCGTTCTCTAGACTGGTACACTACGAACCATCCTTCCTGGTATATCTTCCCTGGCTTTAATTTCTCGAAGTCTTTCGGATCTTCCTTGGGAACGACAGTCGCCTTCTTCTTTAGAACTGCATCAATATCCACATCCATCAATCTAATTTCTTGAATATAAGACTTGAGCATCAGTTGGAGATGGGACATAACAGGTTTGTACTTCTCTTTCTCTCTTAACAACATGTTTTAAAGCACGATCCAGTCATTAGGATTCAAACAGGGCAAGTCTGCGAGGGTGAATCCGTAGGCTTGACAAGTCGAACCTCTCACTACTTTAAACTTCGCATTGGGGAAGCTTTCAGTCTCGATTGGCCCAGTGACCTTCACGGAAACTATCTTGTACGCACTCCAAGTTTCATATTGGGGCTTCATGTGCTTCAAGTAGAAGGAGAACAGCAGTTGATCAGCTCCACTGTCTGTGAAAGGAGAATTTGTAACCTTCACGAAAGCACGAAACTTGAAAGCTTTCGGGGTAATGGGAAGATCGAGTTGCGAATCCTGAGAATTTTGACGATCAAAGGATGCAACAGGATCCAACCATTACTGGCTAGGCAACTCCACAGCATCATGTTGGATTCACTTCAGAGTCCACTTTGAAAATAATAACATTTTGCTTTTGAGAGTGGCTAAGCTTCCTTTAATAGCCCTTTCCTTTTCCTCAGCATCCTTGACGATTCGTTAAGTTCAGCTTCATCAGGCTCTTCGTCTTCGTAATCATCGATTATGGGCTCGTCTTCAATCAATTTTTCCTTTCCCTTAGGTTCTTTCTTGACAATGGGCTTGGCTGGGACTTTAGGAGGTTCATCATTTCCAGATACACCTTCTCCCCCTTGTTTCTGATCAGAACTTTGAGGAGAAACACCCTGCAGACAGTTTAACATCGCGAATACAGGGCTTAATTTTCCAGCCAGGTGCTTGTGAACAGTGATAGAAATCATTGAGTCCCTGGTCTCAATGATATTTGAGAGCAAGCCAATGACATCGGAAAGGCAGCTTCGCACAACTATCCTCTCAGATAGCAGATCTATGACCTTTTTCTCAGAATGTTGAAGCTTGAGATCTAACACCTTGACCTTCTCTGTTTTTCTGGAAAGAGCATCCATAACCTTACTTTCCATCGCCTAATCATCCTGAAGCTTTCTAATTTGCAAAGTGAGGGATGTTTGAAATGAGGCATGATCCTGCTGCAAGCTGGTGCGAATCTTCTCCAAGTTTGTCTTCTCAATTTTGAACATAACACCCAAGTTTTGAAGAGCTTCATTCGCAGATGCAGTGTTGTTGTTGTAGGTGGTTCGGTAATTCTCCATGGAAGTGGTTGTTTCAGAGATTAGTTTATCGACTTTTTTGGTCGTGGATTTACAGATATCAGCAGACTCAGATATTTCCCTATTCATTTTCGCAGCATTCTCTGCATTCTCTATTTTCTCATGAAGGGACTTAAGAAACCCTTTCGTAACTGTGGCTTCATTTTCACTTTCAGTCCTTATCTGAAATGGACTATAGGTGAATCCGCCAAGGTCATCATGATGATGATCATCATCATCCCCAAAAATAATTTCTGGATCATATTTACGAATAGGGAAGATGGGTGGAGAAACATGGGTGGTGAAGAATGAAGTGTTAGCCCCCGTATCAGATACGTTGACTGTGACTTCAGGGTTCTTTGAAGAAATGGGTGGTGTAGTTGAATCAGTTAAGATGGGAGTGGAGAGAGGAATACTTGTTGGTTGAGATGAAGAAACAGGAGGAGGACAGTGGTGCAATTGTGATAGGGGTTGAAGTAGTTTTTGGTGAAGGAGGAGGTGAAGGAACAGAGTCATTGAAAGATTTGTTTACCTCTGGATTCGTAGTCTCTTCTTCATTGCGAACTAGAGGCTCCTCATTGCGAACATGTTGTCCTTCCTCATTACGAACTGGCTCTTCCTCCTGGTTACGAACATGTTGATTTTCTTCAATCCGAATGTCGGATTCAGTCTCAGAATCTGATCCTTCACTCGCAGATGGTGTAGGAGTTTTTCTCTTGCGAGCAGGTTGTTTCCCTCTTTTCGAAACATAAGTAGAGGATGCTGCTGGTGGCTTTCGCTTATTAGGAGATGCTTTCGCAGCACCGGATGGACCTTCTTTGGCAGCGGTCTTCTTCTCACCTTTCTTAGAACCATTATCTCCCTTCTTTGGTTTATCGGCAGCATCAATGGTTGCTTGCATTTCTGTAGTCAGTGGACAGAACCCCGAAGGGGTAAGTTTACGAAACCCTTCCAAAATTTTGCTTGAAGCAGGCACATCGCATAACATTGCCTCTGGTATAGATTCAATGAAGGAGAATTTAGAGTTGTCTGCGACGATTATCCCTGTGGTGTGGAAAGTTGAAACACATAAAGCAAGAGCATCCTTCATCTTCGGAAAGTTGTGCTTGATGATAGCCCTGCGAACAATCAAGGACCAGAATCTCGCACAAGATATCTTATTGTGACGAATTGTTGATAGAGTACTTTGTATCACTTGAGCCTAGAGAACAGCTCCAAAATCCATATGCAGTCCTGTATATAGGCCATAAAGAAGAGTCATGAACAACTTACTAGAACAGTCTGACCCTGTAATCCGTTCAGAAAACCCTTTGAACAGAAGATTGAATAAAGCATTCCATTGTGGGGGTAGATTGGGTTTGCGAAATTTTGAGAGTTTGGATAGAGTCTCCTTGTACCCCATTTGATAAAACATCTCCAAGAGAGCAGCATTGGAGGTCATTTCAGGGTTGAGCATATCTTCTGATTGAGGAAGCCTGAGGAGAGAACATAATCTGGCTTTGGTGATGGATGTTTTCTGATCGTGGATATCGAATATAATCTTGTTTTCCTCTTTGATGTAGCTTGCGGAAGAATACGCCTTGGATAGAAGGGACATCGGAACATCCTCCATTTTCGTTAGATCATAAACCAGCGGAGAATATTTGAGACACTCGATCATCGGCAGAAGATATGGCTCATATTTGCAAGGCTCCAGATCTATGATGAGATTCTGATTCGGTTTGACAGTCAGAAGAGTAGATTGGACTGTTTGATCGTGAGCTGATAATGAAGTAGCCATTGTTGAAGCTTTGAAGAAGACGATGAACAGTAGAGAGTGCTTTGTTTGTCGGATATCTTTTGAGAAGATTTTAAAATTGATAATGAGAGAGGAACCGTCAAAACCTTTATATACTATTCGATTTGTGAGAGAAATCCGGAGAGAGAGTGCATCGGGTACTGAAACGTCGCCTGAAAAAGCGCGACTTGACAACTATAGATGTCAGACCCGTGCGTCATGTGGCAGAAAAACAGCTGGTCGTTCAAATTCTACACGCGTCCCTTTTGAATTCTTATCATCCGAAATTGCCGCGTAATCATCCATCTTTCGCAGTTAAACATTCTTTGTCCCAACTATTGCGAACCTTCGTTTTTAGAAAACTTGGGCTACACTGCGAACCCAAAAGTAAATATTAAGAACCACAAACAAGACTTTTCGAAGATCACGAGGACCTTCGTGCAAGAGTGCCAAAGATAAAGAAATAAAACAAAGTATATCTGGGAAATTTGTGATGTCTATACGAAGACATAAAACAGTTACTCCCGGGCATGGATTTCTTCCTTCAAAGTCAAGAGAGACTAAGAAGTGTCTGTGTGGATTCCCGTTGAAATATGATCAGATGTCTGATAAGAAACACTGAAACGCTTCTTTTAATTCGGATCATTGGGTGGCTAACTCTCCAACCAGACAACGAACTTGATATAAGAACGAATGTCGGATGAAGTACTTGTGTGACTAGTGTAGTCAGTTGAACGAGTAGGTTTGGAATTATTTTAGTGACGAGATAAAACTTTAAAATCTCAAACAAAAATAAAATTGTATCTTTTGGAAAGAAGTGACTAGGTAATAGAACACTTCATAAAGATCGTGCAAAAGAGATGAGATTACAAGGTACAAGCCACGAAGGTGGCTATCGTTAATTCCATGGTGAAAACCTAGAACGTTTAATTGTTCGCCATCAATTCATGTAAGTGTTTTGGATTTTGGGTTTCACTCAGTTCGTGGTGAACGAAGCTAAGATCATTAAACCAGATGTTTCGTAACCATAAACCTCAGTGGTATATCTGAGAGTCTCAAGGGTTACAATTATGAGTGTGAAGGCAAATGGAGAAGAGTGAAGGTGGTTAAAGAACCGAAAGTACATCTACTAAACAAATGTGACCAATCAGATGACTCTTAACTCAATGTGAGAAGAGCAATGTAGCTCATTGTTGGGCCTATTGTGTTGCGTCTTGGGCTCGGTTATTAGTCCAGTTTTGTCACCGGTTTGGTCCTGTCCAGCCATGTGTTTTGTTTTAGGGTTTAGTATATAAGTTGCATGCATGCAATCTTATCATTAACTCTTTCATTATTATTTTATCAAGTGTACTGTAAACCCTAGCGCACCTCTAGAGTGGAAGTTCTTAATCGAGCTCTGTTGAGGTGTGACCACATTTTAATCATTCGACATACAGATTGATTCATTGTGTATTCCAGTATATATTGTTCTTGCTTATTTACCTGTTAAAGATCTATCGATCTAAAAGTTTTTAACTCATAAATTGGTATCAGAGTAGGAGACTGTGTAATCTATACGCATCTCTTCTGTCGAAGAAGGTTTCAGGGTTTTCCGCTAATATTGATCTCTGTTAGAAGCCGTCATGGTTCTTGGATTTCCATTTTACCCTGACTTTGTTTACAAGTCTGATCTTGAAAAGGTTTTTCGCAATATCATCATGTCACACGACGATTCCAACACAAACCCTATCAATATCTCCAACAGCATTGGATCCACAACTAGGATTCCCATTCTATACACTCAGGATCACGAAGTATGGACGTATCACTTTGAAGACTATGTGATCGGTTCTGAAGACAATGGGTATTTAATCTGGGAAGCGATCAATGTAGGTCCGTTCGCTCACACTGGCACAAACCAAATAAGAAAGACTCAAAAGGAGTACAACCAACTTATGGTTGATGCTAATGATGTTCCTCAAGATGAAAAGGAGAAGTTTGTATGCAATATTAAAGTGCTAAGAATGATCAGATTTGCCCTACAGTCTGACACCTTTCGGTTGGTTAGCTCATGCACGACGGTGAAAGAGGTTTGGGACAGGTTGAAAGAGCTGTATTCTACGGATGAGGACCCCGAGCATTCGATCCAGACTCTATTGCTTTCAGAGTTTGGAGACTTCAAGCAGAAACCTGAAGAGAAGCTTATCCAAGCCTTTGATCTCTTTAATCATCTTCTTAGCAAAATGATAAAGCATGGCATAGAGAGAGGAAAGTTATTGAGCAGAAGGTCACATTCATGAATGGCCTAAGATCCGAATGGATGGCTATAGTGTCTATTGTAAAGGCCCATGAACAATTCAAGGCTTACTCTTTGGCGAAGCTAGTGGGGATACTAAAGTCACATGAAGGTGCAGTGACTAAAGAAACGAATGTGGTTTCTAGCATGGGTTCTTTGGCCCTAATTTCTAAAGGAAAGAATGCAGTTGAAGAAGAAGAAGATTTAGATCTCTCTGAGTTTGATCTGAGCAATGAAGAATATGCTTTGATGGTTTCAAACCCAAAGAAGTTCATTCGCAGAAAGTTTCCCACTAATAAGAACCGAAACTGGCAAGGAAACTACAGTTCAGAAAAGGCAAAGGAGGAACCGAAGATCACCCCCCAGCAAGAAGAACCAAAGAAGGAGAGCAAGATGTCAAGTCACGCAGGATTTAATAGTCACTTTTGTGGAGGCAAAAACCACTTTGCCAAGGACTGTATGTTGAGGAAGATGACAAAGAAGAATGAGAGTGAAGACGATGAAGCATACTACCTACGAAAGCTATAAGAGATTAGGAAGAAGAAAGCTGCTGCAAATAACACTATGAATGTTCTTATTATGCAGGAAAATGTTGCAGATGATGAATTTGGTGGTGTTGAAGTCTGGTCTACTGACTCAGAGGATGAAGAAGTGAGAAAGCCTACACATGGCAGAGCTTTCGTGGCAAAAGAAGATGAGTATGTTGTTGAAGGAAAGTGTTTGATGGTGACAGCTGGAGTGTCACGGATGAGGGGTTACACCACTGATGGGGGTGAAGATGAAGCGAAGGAACGAGAAGACAGGTGCTTCACTGCCAAGCCTATTGGTGAGCAGATCAATGAGTGTGACCAGTTGATAAAGAGGGTACAATCTATTATTGAATCACTAAAAATCCCGGTCACAAACTATGAAAAAGAATTGAACGAATTAAAAACTAAATTTTCTAGTTTAAGTGGTAGTTTAATCCAAAATTGCCTCACAAATTCTAACCTAACTGATCAACTCAGCAGCATGTCTTTGAAGAGTGAGGGCAGACGAATGTGGATTGAGCAAAAGGAGAAAGAGTTAATTAGAATTAAGGATGAGACAATTCATTTGCAAAGGGATAATTTGAAGCTTTTAAAACAGAGAAATGTTTTTTGTTTAATTGCTAAACGTTTATATTCCAATATCACTCAATTGCATCTGGATTGTGAAATAGGCAGGAAAATTCACAGTATGATTCTTCCTTTCATTGAATTAAAGGAGGACGTAATTGATGCTGATGTTTATGATTGTGAAGTTGTAGTCTCGTCTGATGAAGTTTCTCCTGGCTATAAAGTTGGTCTTGACAAAATTGAATCTTTTATCCAGTCCAAAGACCACAAATACATGCTTAAGAATTTATTGGACGAAAATGATAAATTGAAAATTAAAACCGAAACTATGCAGAAATTTGATTCGTTGAATGCCAAGTTGAGTTCAGAAACAAAAATTAATGCTGAAAATACTTCTGAATTTGATGAGGATGATGATATGAGTGAAATATCTGTAGAAGATGAGGTAGACTGTTCTGAATTTGTCAAGAGCGAACCCGAACCCACCAAAAATCTCATTTCTGAAAACTCAGTTGAATTCGCTCGTTTGTCCCAAAATAAGTCCAAAGTTATGAAAGAAAAGGTTGTGGTGTATCAGAAGGTCCAAACCACGCCTAATCAAGTTTATGCAGTTACCGGTGTTACACAGAAGAAAACAGCCGAACTCACATCATTAGTGAACGAAGATAATGCTGAAGGATGTGATGCATTTTTCTGGTCGGCACCAATAGACAATGCTGATGAAACGGTTGGTCTATCTGAGAGAACATCAT